AAAAAAAAAAGGATCAGGTGGTAGAGGAATGGATTTAGATTTGAAGAAGGGTTTGTCTCCTGGCACCCATCTTTTTCATTGGTCAAAGTTTTCCACGTCTGGCATTAATGCTTTCAAGCTTTTGTTCTGTGGTGCTCTGGGAACTCACACCCGGAAGTCGTCAGGGAATTAGAGCCTCCTTTGGGTCTTCACTATTCAGGAGGACCTGCATATACTCCCAGGGTAGCTTGAAACTACTAGAGGTATTAGGAGACTGAGCCTCTCCAATGATTGGCATCTAAGGCCTGGGTTGAGAAAGGTGAATTTGGAGCCACATATAAGCTGTGTTTACCTGAGTCCGTTTTTAGTCTTTGTATACATCTAAAAGTAAGACTTTTTTTTTTTTTAAATGGGCTTATCCTATAACTTGGTAATCTGTTACTGTCCTTCAGGATAAATCTTGAATATCTTTCCTTATTAATTATTCAGCATCCTTTAAAATTGCTATGTAGTGTTCCACTCTCTAGGTAGGAGTAATTCTTACAAGGAAATCCTTAAAATTTCAGTTATTTATTTATGGATGGATTATGGTTTGAAATATTTATTCATTTAACGACAAATTGTCATCTTCAACGTTTATTTAGAAATAGTTTCAAATTTACAGAAAAATTGCCCCAATTAGAGCTGTACAGAGAATACCCATAAACCCTCTACCTAGATTTACCTATTGTTAACATTTTCCCCACTTGCTTTGTCATTTCTACTTTATGGACAGTTTTTTCCTTAAAATAAGTTACGTACACCATGGTCCTTTATCTCTAATTTTAATGTGTACTTTGTAAGAGGAGGGGTAATCTCTTTCATAATCACAGTAGAATTTACAAGTTATGTAAATTTAATGCTTAATAATCTGTCCAGCTATGGACAGATATGTTCTTCATAGCATGTTCTCCCCCTCTGCTACAGGATCTAATTTAGGATCAGGTATTGCATAGTTGTCATGCTTTTTTAGTCTCCTTTAATCTGGATCATTTCCGTGGCCTTCCTTTGTCTTTTATAACATTGTTATTTTTGAGAAGATATAAATGATATGTCCTCAGGCTATCATATCTGAAGGCACATGAGGTCTGTCTACCTCTTATTGATAATATTACTTTTGATCAACTAGTCCAGGTCTGATGTTTCCATTGTGTAGGTGTTTTTTTTCCCTTGCAACTACTAGGTAATATAAACAGATGCTTTTGGACTGTGAATCTTGTGCTTCTTATCAAACTTTCTGCCTGGATTTAGCATCTGTTGATGACCCTTGCCTTTATTCTGATGGTCACAAAATGATGATTTTTCATTTCCAGCACTCCTTTCACATTTACCACTTGGCATTTGGTAATTCTCCTCCTTCCTTACCTACTTATTTTTTTATTATTGGTATGAATGCATGGATTATTCCCCTATCAATAACGTATAATTTATTTAGTTATATTGGTGCTCAGATTACCCCTAGATTTAGCTACTGAAAGCCGCCCTTCAAGCTGGCTCCTGTGTCTGCCATATGCCTTTTTTAGAAAAAGTACTTCCTTTCTGGCATGACATGAATGATCTTTTTGGGATTTACCTTCCATTAAAGGTGATAACTTTGAGGTTGATTTGCTCAGAATATTTCTGGTTCAGGATTGAGAAGAGTGACATAGTTATTTATGAGTTTTAACACTGAAAATTTCACTAAACAATTACACTTATTTAAAATCAAAAGGATTTGATATACTTTTATGTATAGAACTGCTTATATTTGAATTTTATTAGTCAAAAAGTGCCTTAAAATTGTCTATACTTTTGTGTTCTGTGAGACTACACATGATAATATTGGGTTGATTGTAAACATGAGAACTCTTTAAGGATTTAAAATGATTATTTTAGAATGTTCGCAATATGTGAATCTTTAAATTGTTAAACATATCATGTATAGTTAAAATAGAATTATAAATCCTTTGTAATATGATAAATTATAAGAATCAGGTAGTATATTTAGCTATTCCTATTCATTTTAAACTGTTGGGTAAGAGCAAAAGGATCAGCTGTGAAGTATCCTTAAAGAAAAAACTATTCAGTCTGTACAAAAATTGCATTCATTTGGTGATTATAGTTGTTTTATTGGTTTCTTTTGTTCGCTATTGTGTTTAATTTTAGCTGTTAAGATGTATTTTAAAATTGGATTTTAAAAATTTTAGGGTTTTTTTTTGTTGTTGCTTTTTAGTCTCCATTCACAGGAAGATAAAATTTTGAGTGTTTTTTAAAAAGGTAAACAGTTTTAATTTTATTGGTTTTTATGTAAAATAACTTGTCCTTTTTGAAATTTTACAGTGGGCAGAAATGGATCTGGGAAAAGTAACTTTTTTTATGGTAGGTATTATTTTTTGAATTGTAAATATATTAAGACCTGGGTATCTTAAGGTAGTATATTAAAATCATTGATTTTCTGAGGTTATGTCTGCATGAAACCCAAGAAATACTTTACTTGGGATTGCAGTTTAGAGTAGACGGTTTAGAGTATACAGATCTGAATTCTACTCTGTACCCAGTGGCTAATAAGTATGTGAGACTACATGTAGCCTCTCAAATTGTTCTTTTCACTTTAAAAACGGAGATGTTGGATGTTTGCCCTACCTTAGATGGTTTGTAAGAATGGAATGCAATAGTATGTATAAAAATGCTTTTTAAACTTGAATGTGATATATAAATGTTATAAATGCATATATTAAAATGTATGTAAATGCAGTAGAATAGTTGATAGTAGTGTTTTGGAAAATGGTTGATCTTATTTCACCTTTTAAAAAATGTTTTCTAAACCAATCATCTATTAACAAATCCTTTGAGGAGAAAAACATTTTAACAAAATTAGACTGTTAAGGAGTAGGTTGAAAAATTTGAACTTTTTAGTTGGGTAATGCTTGACGGAAAGGGGCATTTAGTGGACTGTCTTAATAAGAGCAAAGGTTGTATCCCTTCTGTGCACACAAATCTGAAAGGCACTCTGTAGCCTGTATGTCCTGTAATTTGGCAATGATGAGAGAGTGGACTGAAGTGGAAGTATTTCAGAATCTCCAGGGGATGAGGGCAGTGTGAAGTCTCCCCACCCCACGCATGTCCATAACACACACATTAATGCTTACTTATGCATGTGCTTGCTGTCGTGGGCACGTGCCCCTTCCCCCTTCCCCCCACGCAGTGTTAGAGGTCTCTTGAGTGGACTGGGACCAGAACAGCTGAGTAAAGAGTTCCACTTCCTGGGCAGGGTGGTCTAGTTAGGTACTCTATATGAAAGTAGGAATGGCCCCTTCTTAAAGAAGCTAAGTGTAGTATAAGAAATATAGTAGAAGTTGGGCATCTCTAACATTTCCCTGTATTTCCTTAGTTTTATTTCTTTTGGTAAAGTATCCACTTAAGCATATTCTCAAAATATATTCTATTTTGTTAAAAAGGATTTTAACTCATACCATTTATGTCTAGTGGGGGAAAAAGCAAATACCATGTTAACCTAATCAGTGTACACTTTGAGCCAGAGGTGTACCTTAGTTTTGCTTGTCTGTTTTCATATATTGTGATGTTTTCTCTTGATTATCTTACTTAAAATGTTTGAATGAAAACTTTTCAATATTATATCATTTCCTACCTGATTAGTCTGATGTGCAGGCACATTTTCTGCATTTCCTTTTGTCCATATGGAAGAGATAATTTATTTACATTGTCTGTTACCTGACACACAATGTTCTATTGAGGTATGGGAAGTTATACATAAGTCATAAACCCTTTTTTTTTTAGGTTATATTAATAGTTGTTTTTGTATTTCCAGCAATTCAGTTTGTTCTGAGTGATGAGTTTAGTCATCTTCGTCCAGAACAGCGGTTGGCTTTATTGCATGTGAGTGAGACTGCTTTAAGACGTTGTTAATATTATATATATTTTAAAAATAAATTTTCCATGCTAGTTAAAAAAACATTTGTTCAGGTTTCAGATTTTTTGTGAACAAGACACAATCTATCTCATAAGTTTATTACTCTGCTGTGAAGTTTAGCCTAACATGTTAATGTCAAATAAAAGCTCAATTTTTATAGTGGTTAGGAGAAAATTACAGGATTTGCTTATAGATGGATATGTCCTCCATCAAATTTCTTTAAGGATGTGATCTGCAAAGGCTTAAGCAGGTTTGCTGAGGGGGAAGGAGTTTGAGATTGGGGGTTAGGGACTTTAAGATGCAGAACTAAAAGTTAATTGGGAGCATAGAGAAACAACTATTGCAAACTAAACAGTATACAAGTTGTTGTTTTAGCCATATTTGTGAGCATCATTTTCCAGTATGAAAAACAGTAGAGATGTTCTGCAGCTTAACAGTGGGGTTATGTCCTGATAAACCCATCATAAACTGAAAATACCGTAAGTCAAAAATGTACATTAGCCTACAGTTGAGAGTCAAGCAAAATGATCTAACACGAAGTCTGTTTTATAATGAAGTGTTGAATCTCTCATATAATTTTTATTTATTTATTTATTTATTTTTGAGACGGAGTCTTGCTCTGTTGCCAGGCTGGAGTGCAGTGGTGCAATCCCAGCTCACTACAACCTCCGCCTCCCGGGTTCAAGCGATTCTTTCACCTCAGCCTCCCAGGTAGCTGGGACCATAGGCGGGTGCCACCACACCTGGCTAATTTTTGTATTTTTAGTAGAGATGGGGTTTCTGGTGAAACCATTGTTGGCTAGGATGGCCTCAATCTCTTGACCTCGTGATCCGCCTTCCTCGGCCTCCCAAAGTACTGGGATTACAGGCGTGAGCCACCGCACCTGGCTCTCTATATATAATTTATTGAATCCTGTGCTGAAAGTAAAAAAACAGTAATTTTATGGGTACTTGATTTACAGTTTCTACTGACTAGATTGCTTTCCTACCACTGTTAAGTTGAACCGTTATAAGTCAGGGACCACCCGTATATTTACAGTAACGTGAGTTGTTAGAATATTTTATTAAATGGTTCCTTTCGTAGTTCATAAGCATGATGATTGGGTTTTCATGTTCATGTTAGTCATGCCTCCCTGAAACCTTGTTAGGACACTAGCCATATTACCAATGTGAGTGGAAAATAATAATATGAGTAATGGACTAAAGTAATTTTAGGATAGAAAATCATAAAAGACTACAATAAAATGATATAATTAATCATCCTTTTGGTTTGAATATTGCTTATTAAGGACTAGAAATTTCTCAGTATATCTTAACAATGTTTCTCACACATAGGAAATTATTTTGTTTAGCTGTTGTTCCCCCCCACCGCCCACCTTGTTGTTTGAATTTGTAGCCCTGTAATCAGAATTGATTTCCTATAGAAAAATTCTTTTTAGGTTTTTCAGATTGGCATTAAAATAATAACCTCTTTGGTATAGTTCTTCATTGTATTTAGCTACTACATAGTAATGGTTTCTAGAATCTGGAAGGTATCTGTACTCGATACCATAATTTTTCTGTCATAGATTGGTTTAAATGTGACACATGTTAAATGTGTATATTTCTATAATAGGTTTAAAACTGTAGAATGTCTCAAATATTTTTTAAAAACCGGTTTTTGATAATTATCCCATGATTTATTAGGGTTTCTTTCCAGCATTAAGATGAGTCTGTAAGAGAAGAGCCTCATGGTATATTAGCAAATAGGTAGAATTAAATGGTCCCAGTCTTGCAGTCTAATAAAGTGGTCTGTAAAATCAGATTTAAGGATATGTAACTTTGACATGTCCTGCATAGTTCTTATTTTTTGTTCAGAATCAAAAGCTTGGTTGAGTTTTGTTATCTTAATCTAATGTCTCTGCTGTTTTGGCGAGAGGGATATATACTATCCCTCTGGAGATACCCCCAAAGTATGTATCCCTCTTGCCAAAACAGCAGAGATGTTAGATTAGTGTGTATGTGTGTGTATATATATATATGAATCTAGTAGAAATTTTTCTCAATTGAATCAGACTTGTTATCATGCCCTAGACTTTAAGAAGTGTTTAAAGAATATGAATATATTAAATGGCAGATTTCTTACTTTTTTCATTTTTAGGAAGGTACTGGTCCTCGTGTTATTTCTGCTTTTGTGGAGATTATTTTTGATAATTCAGACAACCGGTTACCAGTAAGTAACTTGTTTTTTTTTAAGTAATGTTGAGAATTTAATTGGTGTAGCTAATTTTCTTCATACTTTGAAACTTTTTAAGCTTTTATCATTTATGCTATAGTAATTACACAGTTTACATACTGATTAGATCTGAAAATGACAATGAATGTTAACAAATGTGAATATACAAGCTGTTGTGAAGAAGTGTCTTGGTTAAGAGTATTGAGTATTCGTAGTATTGTCTTTAGTGAGGTAACTGAAATTTTAAAATAAATAATTATGGTCAGGGACTTTCTAAAATGACCTCATTTGAAAAGTTTTCTTCTTTACTATTAAATTAATTTAGAGCTTTTACATTTTTTCTAGATTGATAAAGAGGAAGTTTCACTTCGAAGAGTTATTGGTGCCAAAAAAGATCAGTATTTCTTAGACAAGAAGATGGTCACGTAAGCGTTTTTCTTTTCTTTTGTTAAAGAATTGAATTTATACTTAAATAGAAATGGGGTGTTTGCTATATTGGCCAGGTAGGCCACGAACTCCTGACCTCAAACGATCCACCTCTGGCTTTGGGATTACAGACATGAGCCACCACGCTCAGCTAGTATTTTTCTTTTCCTCAAGATGCAGTCTTGCTTTGTCGCCCAGGCTGGAGTGCAGTGGCGCGATCTTGGCTCACTTCAGCCTCTGCTTCCCAGGTTCAAGCCATTCTCCTGCCTCAGCCTCCCAAGTAGCCGGGATTACAGGCATCCATCACCACACCTGGCTAATTTTTATATTCGTAGTAGAGATGGGGTTTCACCATGTAGGCCAGGCTGGTCTTGAACTCTTGACCTCTTGATCCGCCTACCTTGGCCTCAAAGTGCTCGGATTATAGGCCTGAGCCACTGCGCCTGGCTTGCATTTTTCTTTATGTTTATAATTTCCTTACAAACAAGTAAAAGTATTCATTTACCTGCCTCATGTATGAGAAATATTTGCTTCATCTTCAACAAATCAATATATAGTGGATAAACATAAGAATCAGAAAGTTCTGAGAACAATACAGATGGTTTAATTACTGATCTTCACTCCCTAATGCTACTAACTCAGGGGCTAGTCTACTTATTGCTTAATGGTACTTTAAAATTATTTATCTGAAAGTAATTTCATTGTCAACAGGAAAAATGATGTGATGAACCTTCTTGAAAGTGCTGGTTTTTCCCGAAGCAATCCTTATTATATTGTTAAACAAGGAAAGGTAAAACAATTGTATGTCCTTTTTTAATAGAATTTGTTTTCTGAGTAATTCTTGAGTGATGAATTTGATTTATTGATTTGAGTGGTTAAGCTGAAGGAAAAATGGCCATATCTTTTACATGGCCATAAAGTACCAAATAGATCCATTGCATGTTGAGATGGAAGTATTTCAGCAGATTAGGCGGATCTTGTTTTCCTAGTGACTGGTATTACTGAGGTGAAAGTATGGGAAGACATTATTGGCTTATGAAAGTTGCAATAATTAAGAACATTGTAGAAATTCTATAAAAATCACATTTGAAAAAATTACTTTATAAAATTAGTTTTTTGCATTATTTATATTAATCACAGAATTAAAATATTGAAAAACTAACATTACCAGAAATCTGCCATTGTGCTGCATGTTATTTTCCCTAATAGGGATTATATTTTTTACAGTTTTTTAGCAGCCAAGTTACAAACTTTTTTAACTGATTGTTCTCGCTTCTTAAATACTTCCACTTTGTTTTGGACTAGGGAAAATTCTTGAAGAATGTTCACTTATTTTATACTATAGGCTTTTTTTTCCTAGATATGTATGGGAAAGTTAGCATTCAGAAGAAGTGATTAGGAAGAATATGGAGTTTCAGTTTCAGAAAATGTACCAGAAGAACAAGTTGTTTTTTTTTTTTTCCCCCCCGATTTTACTATTTGTGAGAGATTTTTTAAATAGAGGCTGATTTGAAAGAGCACTTTACTGAGATCTGTGTGCTCTCAGCGTAGGCCCTTTTACTTCATATCAGTTTCTGCCCGTACGCCATCCTTGATGCCTTATCTAAAAGTGTTGCCTTCTCCCCAAGCCTATGTGCTTTATTTCCTTAATGTCTTTTATTTTTCCTCATAACACTTAAATTACACTGTTATGATAATACTTATTTTCTGTCTTTTCCTACAGAATGTAAACTGCATGAGGGCAGGGCCCTTTCTGCTTTGTTTTCTCTTTTCTAGTGCCCAGCAGTGGCACATGTTGTAGCCATTTGATAAATATGTTTTTGCTGGGCGTGGGGGCTCACGCCTGTAATCCAAACACTTTGGAGGCCAAGGCGGGCGGATCACCTGAGGTCAGGAGTTCAAGACCAGCCTGACCAACATGGTGAAACCCTGTCTTTAAAAAGGAAAAAAGAAGATAAATATGTTTTTGTTTTTGTTTTTTTTGAGACAGAATCTTGCTCTGTCACCCAGGCTGGAGTGCAGTGGCACAGTCTTGGCTCACTGCAACTGCTGCCTCTGGGGTTTAAGTGATTCTCCTGCCTCAGCCTCCTGAGTAGCTGGGATTACAGGCCTGCACCACCACGCCCAGCTAATTTTTGTATTTTTAGTAGAGACAGGGTTTTACTATGTTGGTCAGGCTGGTCTTGAACTCCTGACCTTGTGATCTGCCCACCTCGGCCTCCCAAAGTGCTGGGATTACAGGCGTGAGCCACCGCGGCTGGCCTGATAAATAATTTTTAAGTGAGTAAATTGCATGAATGGACATATGTAATTGGAGCTCTCAATAATGAAGATCTGAAGGATGATTCTTATAGATATTTTTGATAGACCATGTGTTCTTAGCTTAGAGTAACTATCATTTCAACTTTTTTTTTTTTTGAGACGGAGTTTCACTCATGTTACCCAGGCTGGAGTGCAATGGCGCGATCTCGGCTCACCACAACCTCCGCCTCCTGGGTTCAGGCAATTCTCCTGCCTCAGCCTCCTGAGTAGCTGGGATTACAGGCACACACCACCATGCCCAGCTAATTTTTTGTATTTTTAGTAGAGACGGGGTTTCACCATGTTGACCAGGATGGTCTCGATCTCTTGACCTCGTGATCCACCCGCCTCGGCCTCCCAAAGTGCTGGGATTACAGGCTTGAGTCACCGCGCCCGGCCATTTCAACTTTTTAATGCAGTGATATCATTTTTGACATTTAGGGATACTTGTTATATATTAAGTTGGCATGGCAGTTAAGTTGTTACCATTCTCTCTATATTTAAAACACACAATTTTGTCATACAGTTAGCCCTCTGTATCTGTGGATTCCACATCTGCAAATTCAACCAACCATGGATCAAAAATATTTAAATAAAAATTTAAAATAATAGTACAATAAGAAATACAACTTTAAAAATACAGTATAACTGTTTACATAGCATTTACATTGTATTAAGCATTGTAAGTAGAGATTAAAGTATACGGAAGGATGTGCATAGGTTATGTGCAAATAATATGCCATTTTATATAAGTGACTTGAGCATCCTTGGATTTTGGTATCTGCAGAGGGTCCTAGAACCAATATTCCATGGAAACTGAGGAAGAATAGTACTTTTAATATATAGTTTTTAAAAAAATATAGTCAGTGATGATTTCGCCTTATAAAAATACTTTGTTCTGTGAGAATGGAGCTCATCTTTTATACCTCATCATGCTGACTAAGAAAAAGATGATGGTGTGAGATACTCCTTCACTTGTTAGGCCTAATCATAAAGGAGAGTTATGGACATAACAGTTATATTTGGAGTGTATTTGGTAAATTTAAGTAAAGGAGACATAGATATGTAGGCGTATGTACTATACTAATGACATTGGCCAAATCATAAGCTACCTAAAACTTGGCATGTCCCAAATTCAAAAGTCTGAAATACAAAATGTTCTACAATCTGAAACCTTTTGAGTATTGACAAGACATTCAAAAGAAATGCTTGTTGGAGCATTTTGGATTTCAA